GCACGCGCATGCGTCTGTTTCTGTTGTACTTTTGAGGAGCTATCTCAAACGAATGTAAAGGCAACCAAGTGAGGATAACCAACCAACATTCATTATTCAAAATTTTATTGTCCTTCTAAAAGTTCGCAATTTACTCATTTTTATTAAGGTTCAAGTGAAAAAGAATGATGGCTCCGTTGAGACTGTGAATACTCGTAACATTCTCATCGCGACCGGATCGGAAGTAACTCCTTTTCCAGGAATACCAATCGATGAAGAGAAGGTAGCTTTTTTCTCGAGCAGGCGCTAGGCCTGAAAAAGATCTTCATTTTCGTGGATGACATAGCATTATGGTTCAGAGCCACGTACGTGTTGTGGAGAAGTGACTGTTAGGTACATGAGAAGGAGAAGATGTTGTAGGAAGGTGTTCGTAAGAAAGTAAATGCGTTTATCAGATGTAGAACTGCAAAGATGGTTTTTATGGCATTTACCGACATATTATGGTATTTTCTCATTATTCCCTTCCCCACCTCGATATTTAACACCTTGGAGCCCACGCAGCCCATATGTGGGCTGCAGTCCTCCGACCGCATAGGACCTTTCAGCTCGCATTTCGGAAACAATTATTAGGTTTTTCATTCATTTTCTTTTCCATTTTATCCGATAAGATTTCTTCTGCATTATACAGTGGGTTCTTCTTTTGAATTTGCTAGATAAGATCCCTAAAAATTTCACCGAAGTCCCGCGCGGCCGCGGAACGTAAAACACGCGCGGTCTCCAAAGTGTTAATTATTCTGGATCTAAAGACGAAGAGAGGGAGAGGCGGACTCTTGAGAATTTATGGTGGCATCGCAACAAAGTAACTCATGAATTCTCACCTCCTCTACCAGCTTGAACGTTATCTGTATATCTATGCCCATGTCTTGATGGTAGTCCCCCGCGAAGGATTTCTCACATTCGCTTGACTTTCCCTAAAAGAAGGGAAACTCCGTATCATAGCATTTTTGGGGGAGTGTTTTGCAACCGAGATAGTACGTCGTAGTCGTGAGGGCTACTCAAACAACTACTCTATTTCCATATAATTCTTCAGATCATTTCTTCGACCGGAGCACTTTCCCTGAAAGCTGTGCCCAAGAAGATGGTAATTATTGGAGCAGGAGTTATTGGACTCGAGCTGGTTAGCCTCTTTTCAACATATTTTGTGAAAGATTTGTTGGCGTTTGATCCATAATTTGGTAGGAAGTCCTCATTCCTTCCGATCGTGATAT